ACAAATCTATTATAAAAAGTTAAAATTTATCAAAATTTGCACACCCACAGACCATACATGGTGCCATTCACAGTCAAGGGAAATGTAAACAAATGTAGAGATTCAGTATTAAATCATAACTGCATAAAATTATGTACCCACCTCCTGTTGCCATGGTGGTGAGCTCAAGTGTTGAGAGTATCTGCTTAAAATGCCACCATGTGATGCTAATCATCTCCCCTTGAGCGGTCCGCTTTAACAATAACTTGCATGTGGAGATAAAAAGTGATCTCTCTTGAGGCTGTAGTGAGCCGTGATCGTGCCTCTGCATTCCAGCTTGGGCAAAAGAGTGGGATTCTGGCTCAAAAAAGAAAAAAAAAAGCCATCTCTGTTAGTTCTCCTGTACGTTTCACCGTGTACGTTTCATCGTGTTTAATGCAATATTGTAAACCATGATAACACCGTGTGACTCACATGAAGTGTCACTACTGCTGCCAGAAGTGCTTCTAAAAAGCAAAGTCATGACATTCCAACAAAAAGTTGAATTGCTTAATATGTATTATAGATTGAGATCTGCAGCTGTGGTTACCTGCCATTTCAGACAGACGATGTAAAACTTAGAGTATTGATAAATACAGTACAATACTGTACATGTATTTTATGTTTTTAAATCTTTTTTTTTTTTTTTGAGACAGGGTCCTACTCTGTCACTCAGACTGGCTGGAATTCAGTGACACCATTATGGCTCAAGCAATTCTTCCACTTCAGCCTTCTGAGTAGCTAGGACCACAGGTGCATGCACCATCCTGGCTAATTTTTGTATTTTTCATAGAGATGTTGTTTCAGCATGTTGACCAGGCTGATCTCGAATTCCTGGGCTCAAGCAATCCTCCCTCCTTGACCTCCCAAAGTGCTGGGATTACAGGTGTGAGCCACTGCCCCTGGCCTTAAAATCATTTTCTTTTCTATGGCTTACTTTATTGTAGGAATACAGTATATAAAACATAGGACATAGAAAATATGTTAATTGATTGTTATCCATAAGACTTCTAGCCAACAGCTGGCTATTGGTATAGTCATCCCTCCTCTCTGTATACATGAGATTGATTCCAGGACCTCCTGCAGATACCAAAGTCTGCACATATTCAAGTCACATGCAGTCTGTTTTTCAAAATCCACACATACAAAAAGTCAGTCCTCCATGTAAGTGGGTTTTGCATCCTGCGAATACTGTATTTTTGATCCATGTTTGGTGGGAAAAAAATCCGTGTTTAAGTGGGCTCAGGAAGTTCAAACCCATGTTGTCCAAGGTTGAAGTGTAGTTAAGTTTTTGGGGGGTCAAGTTATACCAAATTCTGACTGCATGGGAGATGGGGGGGTTAGCACCCCTAACCCCCATGTTGTTCAAGGGTCAATTGTATTGCCTCTTCCAGTATGTTGTAAGAATAAGTATTGTTTCAGAAAAGATTTACTTCAAGGTATATATGGGTGTGTGCTTGTGTTTGTAATGGGTAGCAATGTAAAATGTATTCATCTTTGTAAGTCACAGACAAAAATATCTAAAAGCACTACTGCTCTAGCAATAGCATTGCTGAATTTTATATCTTCAACCTTAACAGAGGTGATGCCAGATTGCTCTCCAAAATGATTATACCCAATCATACTCTCAACAGCAGTGTGAGATGTTCCATATCTCTCTATGTAGATATTCTATATATTATACTTAAGCTCCATATCCTCACCTGAACTTAATAGTGCCAGACTTTTAATGTACTATCAATCCATTTATTGTGCTATCAATACTGGGTGTGAATAGTGTCTTAATGTGGTTTTCAGTTGCATTTTTCTGATTTCCAGTACATCTTTTCATACATTTGACCATTTAAATTTTGCTTATTGTGAATCATCTGTTTATATCCCTTACTTGTATATTATACAATACAACCCTTACAACAACTCTCTGAAAGAGCCAGCAGTATAGATGAAGAAACTAAGTATGGGAGAAACCTTGCTTAAAGTAACCCAGCTAATGAGTTTTTGAGCTGAAATTTGAGTCCAGGTGTAGAAGACCCGTAATCCTATGCCTTTTGTTTTACACTACATGCCAGGGCCCAAGGTCACGTTAGAAAAAAAAAACAGAGGAGAGAACAAATAAATTTGAACATGTAACCCTATGTCTTGTGTCTAATTAGGCCTTGTGCAATTAACATAGATTATTTCCTTGTGTCCTCACAACAACCTGTGAGGTAAAACCTGTTATCTCCATTTCTACAGATGAGAAAACTAAGGTGTAGAGTAGTGAAGAAATTTGCCTTGGAAGGGTTAAATTACAGTTAGGGACAGAATCGCAACTCAAACACAGATCTGCCTGATTACCAAGTCCATGCCTGTTTCACGATAATGTCTATCCATAGATATTCCTGGTGTAAGGTAAAGACCTCCCACAAATCAAGCCTGACTCATCATCTCCTAGAGCCAGGTCTTGACCTGCTTCCCCACTTTCTCTCCAGATCCCCATATGTTTCTACTTCGGTATGGCCAGGACTATACCTACTATCTTTCTGCGGAATCCTGGTCTGAGGTAACCTTAAAACTGGCTGAGCCCTGCTGCTTCACATTAACCATCTGGGCTAGGTTAGCTCCCATAGATTACTCTTCCACTTCCTCAGGCTTCTCTAATGAAGCCCAATCAGGATCTCAACGCCTTCCATGGTAAACCAGAAAATTGTAAGTCAGAGTCTTTAAATGTGGCTGCACATTAAAATCACTTGTGAACTTAAAAAAATCCTGATGCACTAGTTACAACCCAGGCCCATTACATCAGAATGGTACCCAGGCATTCATAATAGTTAAAGCTTCCCAGATGATTTGAATCTACAGCCAAGATTGGGAACCACTGTTATGGCATCTTCTTCAAGCTCCAGCAGCCATACTCAGTAGTTTCCACATCTTGGGTTTTCATAGGAACTTCTTGGAGGACTCATAAAGACCCAGATTTCTGGACGCCACCCCAGAGAATCCTGGTTCAGATCCAGGAGTCATTCTTAATAATCACCCCAGATAGTTTCACTGCAGATTATTAGCAGACAGTATTTTGAGAAATGCTGCATTAGAGGCATGGAAGTAGGATGGGAACAGGAGGCCTCTGGCCCTTTAAGGATGGATTAAGGGACTACTTTTAAGGCTGTAGGGGCAAGTAGGATCAGGCTGCTTTTTTTCACTCTAGTGGATAAGTTAAGGAAGTGGGTCCTGAAATGGACCTCTCCTTTTAGGTTACCTCAGCCTCTCAATAGGTACTATCTTGTTCTCAGCCCGGGAGAGTGGGAGGGACCTGCTGCCTTGTCCCACCTTCTGTTTCTGTTTCTTCTGATGCAAAGAGGCCAAGTTATGAGGAAACTTTGGCCCAGGAGATCCTCTTAGAGAAAGCAACATAGGGTCTGCCTGCCTTTCTTTTTCTTGCCCCATCCTTGGTTGTGGAGCCAGGATGCAGTTATCTGCATGAAAGGAAACGGTCAGAGTGACGTCCCTTGGGCTTGTGTTGGGGCCTGTTGTTGAACACTAAGCCTTTCAAGATGGTCCTCCGCAGTATTCTTAGAATTCTTTTTCTTTGTGAACTGGTCCTTTTCATGGAACACAGGGCCCAAATGGCAGAAGGACGGCAGTCCTCTATTGCCCTCCTGGCTGAGGCCCCTACTTTGCCCCTGATTGAGGAGCTGCTAGAAGAATCCCCTGACGAACAGCCAAGGAAGCCCCGGCTCCTAGGGCATTCACTGCGGTACATGCTGGAGTTGTACCGGCGTTCAGCTGACTCACATGGGCACCCTAGAGAGAACCGCACCATTGGGGCCACCATGGTGAGGCTGGTGAAGCCTTTGACCAATGTGGCAAGGCCTCGCAGAGGTGAGTTGTTATGCCCCCATACTGCCCTGGAAGGGAGAGAAGTGGAGAAGAGCTTAGAGAAAAGGGAATTGGTGGATTTACTGTCAGGCTTTGTTGCCTTGTGCACAGGTTGTTTCTTTAGGCTTGGTTTTCAAAGGATGGTAAGCTTGGGAGAAGCCAGAGTCAAGCCTACTTCCCTTTAGGGCATCAACTTAAGAACAGATTGCCTTGGTGCCTACTGAGAAATCTTTCCCAGGCCCCAGGACAACTGAGTGATGTGTCATCACCTATCTTTCACAGAAACTTTTATTGCTTGTGATAGTTCTGAAAACTGTAATTGAGACATATCCAGTTATATTCTTGTGGAGGGCAATTTAAGTGGCGTTTTGCTCTTAGAGTACAGGTTGCTGAGTTGGGGAAACTTCTAAGACCTCAGGAAGGACATAAATAAGCTAACATCTGAGGGTCTGTGTACCTGGCTCTGTGAGCATCTGCTACTGTATTTAATTCTTAATGAATGCTACTATCTTAGCTGTCTTGAGGCAATTAGCCTAATTTTAAAACTAAGGCATGGAGAGGTTAAGTAACTTGCAAATGGTACACAGATAGTGGGTCACAGAGATGGGATTTCAGCTCAAGTCTGTCTGATTCTAAAGTCTGTCAGTAACTTCTTAAGTCTTTAAATGTAGTATTCCAATATCCTTGTACCCCCAGCAGTTTTTGTACTTGGGCCATATTGCTACTTTGGGATTCTGGTACTGTGTACTTTGGAACTTTTTTTTGTCCCCATCATGATTGATTTTGCTTTTAACATTTGCATCAGATATTGTTCCAGGACAGCAGTGGGCTATTGAAGTGTAGGACTCTCTAGGGAATGCAGACAGTCATCAACTTCAAGGAATTCTTGGGAACCTAGTGAGATCAATCTGTGGCCTTCACTAGTCTCAGAGATGAAAAGAGACAGGACTTAACCCCCTCCCCAAGCAAAACAATAAATATTCTTGTACCTAACCCTTACTGTGAGATTACTGTGTGCCAGGCATTGCAGAAAATGTTTTATAAACTTATCTTAATCCTCACAACTACCAGATTAGGTAGGTAGTATTAGCATACCTACTTGATCGGTGAAGGAACTGAGGATCAGAGTCACTTACCCATGTCATACAACTAGTAATTGCTAGAGCCAGGCATCAAACCCAGGCTGTCAGGACTAAAGCCTGTGTGTTAATCATCATGCTGTTCTGACTCCCCATTGGATTTTAATTGAGTGCCAGGCAGTGTGTTTGGGTTGGGTATATAGAAGCAAATACTTTCCCGACCTCTAGAAGTTCCCAGTATAGTGGAATGGATAGATAATTACATAATAATGTTACAGTATGCCAAGAGCTTTGGAAAGGATAAACAGTACGGGCTCCCAGGACTTTTGAGAAGAAATGGTTCATTGCTTGAAGTGAAGAGACTGTGGGAAGGCCTCATGAAGGAGGTAGTACTTGAAATTGACCTTGCAGAAGGAGCAAAGAGGCCATGCATTGAGGCAGATAAGTGCATTCTGATTTAGGAAAGAGAAAATGGTGTGGGTAGAGATTCATTGAAAAATATTCATTTGGCATCTACTGAGTACTAGGCATACAGATGTGATCAAGATAGGTAAAACCCCTACTCTCATGAAGCATATGTTCTCATAGGGGAGACAAATAAGCACACACAGTTAAATCGTGAATTGTGGTTAAGTGCTCTCAAAGGATGAAGTAGGTTGTTAAGGTAGAGAATGGCAACAAAACCTTCCCTTTCCATGGAGTTGTCAGGGAATGTATCTTTGAAGAAGTGCCATTTGAGCTCAGATCTACAAGATAAACTAGGTATAAGAAGAGTAGGGAGAAGCCTGATTTAGGCAGAGGAACAACAGGTGCAAATGCCTAGAGGGTGAAAACAAGTTTGTTCCAATTGAAGAACAGAGGAAAATCAGTATGGCTGGATCCTCATGAACATTGTGGGAAATGGCAGGATATGAGGCTAATGAGAAGCAGGGACTTCTAGGCTGTGATAAGGGATCTGGATCCTAAGTGCAGCAGAAAGTTGCAAAACATCAAGCACTTTGGGAGGCCAAGATGGGAAGATCACTTGAGCCCAGGAGTCTGAGACGAGCCTGGGCAACATAGGGAGACATGTCTCTACAAAAAATAAAAATGCATTAGCTGGGGGTAGTGGTACACACCTGTGGTCCCAGCTACTCAGGAGGCTGAGACCAGAGGATCATTTGAGCCTGGGAGGTTGAGATTGCAGTGAGCCGTGATTGCGCCACTGCACTCCAGCCTGGGTGACAGTGAGGCCCTGTCTCAAGGAAAAAAAAAAAACAAAAACCCCAAAATTAAGAAAAAAATAGGCTTGTACAGATGATGTGAGACTAGAGAGGAGGATGCCTAGAATTAGGCATGTATCCTGGTCTCACTGTGGAATATACTGGTATCTAGGGACTCTGGAAAGGATCCAGAGACAGATGACAGATTCAATCACACAGGATGTGTGAGTCAGCCCTTTCCCTGAAAAGCTCTGACCAGACCCTTCCTGGCTCTGATTCTTAGCAACTTCATCCTGCTTCAGGAAACATGTGATGTCAAGGTCTCAAAGAAAAGGGCAGTTCCTCCCCAGACAGACTGCTAGAGGTTTGGGTTGGGTTCCTTTATAGCCAGGGTGGAGCAGGTTTAAGGGTGGGCCTCTAAGAAAGATTACTGTAAGATGGGAGTGTGGAATAACTTGAGAAAGCAAATACAAGCCTGACTTGGATTTGTGTGAATAATGTCTAGTGCCCCAAACCCAAGGGTATATTAAGCATGAGTTGGAATTTGAACTTTTATTTATTTTTTTGAGATGGAGTTTCACTCTTATCGTCCAGGCTGGAGTGCAGTGGCATGAACTCGGCTCACTGCAACCTCCGCCTCCCGGGTTCATGCCATTCTCCTGCCTCAGCCTCCCGAGTAGCTGGGATTACAGGTGCCCGCCACCACGCCCGGCTAATTTTTTGTATTTTTAGTAGAGATGGGGTGTCGCCATGTTGGCCAGGCTGGTCTCAAACTCCTGACCTCAGGTGATCCGCCTGCCTCGGCCTCCCAAAGTGCTGGGATTACAGGCTTGAGCCACTGCACCCAGCCGGAATTTGAACTATTAAAGATATTCTGGGGCTGGGTGCAGTGACTCAAAGGGCAGCTAATCCCAGCACTTTGGGAGGCCAAAGCGGGCAGATCGCTTGAACCCAGGAGTTCGAGACCAGCCTGGCAATATGGCAAAACTCTGTCTCTACAAAAAACAAAACAGAAAAAGCTGGGCATGGTGGCACGTACCTGTAGTCCTTGCTATTCATGGGGGCTGAGGTGAGAGGATCTCTTGAACCTGGGAAGTCAAGGCTGTAGTGAGCCATGATTGTGCCACTGCATTCCAGCCTGGGTGACAGAGTGAGACTGAAAAAAAAAAAAAAATCTGGAACATCAAGATGTAAAAGAACTTCTGTGTTAAAAATGCCACAACTAATGAAGAATTCCAGGTTTGTGGATTCTGTGGAGAAGGACTAGGTGAATAATATACAAATTAACATGGAATTATTTACTGATTAGATGTCGGAAGATGAGAGGTGGCTTTTTCCTGAGGTGCAAGGCTTTTGTAATCTTTGCTCTTGACCTTTGCCAGGAGGGGGCGCAAAAGTTTGGAGCAGCATGGATGCAACCTTTCAATCCTTTGGCCGTTGGGTGTCAGCACTACAGTTTGGATTAAAGCTCTTATTCACGAAGCAGCATCCAGCTTTTAGTAGACTTCTCAGCAAACAAAATATTTATGTGATCAAGACTCTGTTGAAAATAGTATTTAGAGGAATAGTGGTAAAATGAATGAGGTAAATGGAGAACAATTTCCAGCAAGGAATGGTAAAGAGAGAGATTAAGGGCCAAAGGAGGAAAAGATGCTTAAGAAGCAATTCTTGAAGTAGATGAAAGGCAGAAGTGGTAAGATAACTGTCTGTACTAGAAGATGATAGAAAAAATTATTTTGTAGTGCCTTGGTCCTGAGTTTGAAATTATAGCAGGCCATACCACCCAATACTGAATTGTTGTCCCAAAGCTGCATCTGTATACTGATGTGACATGAGACTCTTTCTTAATCCATGTATGTTTCAACAATTCTAAATGGACACATTTAATAGTCAACTAATAATAATATTGATCTTCTCCCCTACATACAGTATGCACATAAGATAATTCTATATTTGAGTTTTTTCCCCCTGAGCCCAGCATGGTAAGTAATCTAACAGTGAGATAGTTTCTCTAAAGAAAAACAGACTTGGGTTCAAATCTTAACTCTACCAGATACCGGCTGTGTGTCCTTTGTCATAGCTTCTCTGAGCCTCAATTTCCTTATCTACAAAATGGGGACAATAACTATCTCATAAGACTATTGAGGATTAAAGAACTAATACATGTAAAGCATCTAGTATATTAGTAAGTGCTCAATAAATGATAGTATCATTACCTTGAGTTAATTTTAGAGCTGATTATAGCTATCAGTCTATATCAAGCCAGTTTGTGAGGAAGATTCAGGTTAGGCGGTAAGAAGCTAAACCTCTGCTCTTGTTCCCTCTTACTTCTGCAGGTACCTGGCATATACAGATCCTGGGCTTTCCTCTCAGACCAAACCGAGGAATATACCAACTAGTTAGAGCCACTGTGGTTTACCGCCATCATCTCCAACTATCTCGCTTCAATCTCTCCTGCCATGTGGAGCCCTGGGTGCAGAAAAGCCCAACCAAGCACTTTCCTTCCTCAGAAGGAGATTTGCCAAAATCTTCCCTGATGTCTAACGCTTGGAAAGAGATGGATATCACACAACATGTTCAGCAAAGATTCTGGAATAACAAGGGACGCAGGATCCTACGACTCCGTTTTATGTGTCAGCAGCAAAAATATAGTGATGGTCTTGAGCTCTGGCATGGCACTTCGTCCTTGGACATTGCCTTCTTGTTACTGTATTTCAATGATACTCATAAAAGCATTCAGAAGGCTAAACTTCTTCCCAGGGGCATGGAGGAGTTCATGGAAAGGGAATCTCTTCTTCTCCGGAGAACCCGACAAGCAGATGGTATCTCAGCTGAGGTTACTGCCTCTTCCTCAAAACGTAGTGGGCCTGAAAATAACCAGTGTTCCCTCCACCCTTTCCAAGTCAGCTTCCGCCAGCTGGGTTGGGATCACTGGATCATTGCTCCCCCTTTCTACACCCCAAACTACTGTAAAGGAACTTGTCTCCGAGTACTACGCGATGATCTCAATTCCCCCAATCATGCCATTATTCAGAACCTTGTCAATCAGTTGGTGGACCAGAGTGTCCCTCGGCCCTCCTGTGTCCCGTATAAGTATGTTCCAATTAGCGTCCTTATGATTGAGGCAAATGGGAGTATTTTGTACAAGGAATATGAGGGTATGATTGCTGAGTCTTGTACATGCAGATGACAGCAAAAGTACAGCTAGCTCAAGTTTCCCAGGAAATTAGAGGAGAGTTTAAAATATCAGTGTTAAAGCTGCAAGTAATCCTGTACCAATCTGTACATTATATTTCTTGCCTTAAGTGTTACTTAAGTCTCTTCCCCCACTTGTGAGCTAGTCAGTTTATAGAAACAGTTCTGATACCAGTCCCCTAGCATGAATCAGTACAGTTTGACCACTAATCAGAGCCCTTAATGCTTGGGTAAAATGTCCTCTATTTTATTTTCCTTGGGGCTTTGTCAAAAGTCAGCAGTCAGTAGTGGTAGAACTTCAGAAATTTTCCAACTTTTCCCAGCTTGGGAAAGGTGGGTTTTTCCTAGTGTCCATATTCTGAAGCTCTGGAAGATTTGGGGTGGTGAAAATAGCTTGGGATTTTATACTGCCCTTCTTGCCTCCTATGTCCTAGAAACTACTAGTAGCTAATCAGACAAATTGCCTGCTTCTGTGTTTGTAATACCTTCTGAAACTTTTCTCAGACAGGCTGGAAAATTTTCAGGTAACAGTCTTTATAGAAATGTTTTGAGGGGATAGAAGGAAGGAAATCTTTTTCTAAACAAGCAGGGCTTTTCCTCTTAGCCTCTGAATCTGGGAAAAGTACCTGGGATTCTTTCCTGTCCTAGGTGAGTACAGTAGCCTTTAATGAAGCCCATAAGGAAACTAGACTATGGAACTGTCTGAGATAATCTACTTCAAACCTGCATTTATGGTGAAGAAGAGAAAATCTGTCATTGCTGATTAGCATTATGAATGGGGGAGTTATTTTTAAGTATTCTATGAAACAATAGAGTTCAGAGTATTTTCCTTATGTGACGCTTAAACCCCTGTAAATTACCCCACAAAGAAAGTTCCCTGGTGGCTCAGAGGCTGGGAGTTGGCCTGATTGGGAGTGCAGGGGATTTGAGGGCTGTGAAGGAAGGACTATGGGATAAGGGTGAAACCTGCGAAGGCCTGCAGCTGACTTTATTCTGGGCTTGCCTGTTTCATGTGTTCAGTTTGAATCTGGACCTGGGTCTCTGAGGGAGAAGGGCTTGTTGTCTTTGGGAGACATGGAATGATGCCTTGAAATAAATGATGCTTGTAGTGTGACTCCTTTCTACTCCTATACTGTATTTAAATGATGGGACTGGGTTTTGTTGCAAATAAATCATTTTGTTGTTGAAGAAAATCTTGACTGTTTTTAGAATTGAGAGAGAGTGGAAGAAATTTATTTCCTTTGTTCTCTTTAGCTATGGCTAAGACTTCGACCCTAATCCCTGAGGGGCAGGGCTGGAACATCCTCTGAAGTTCTTCTCTCTTAAGGAAACACTGCTAGCCATCAGCCCTCGCCAAGGTGCCCCTTTAGGGAAGCCCCTGAAACCCAGTAAGTCTTTCCCCACCCAATTGCTCTTGACTAGTCTTATGGCAATTCTCATGGGATGGGACTGATTTAGGGTAGGTATGTGTGTTTGTCAAATCCCTATGTTTCTTACCTATTCATTGTAAACTAACTTGTTTTACCATTCCCTTCAAAAGCTGGTTCCAGCTAGGCTGAATATCTTGCAAGTGTATAAATACAAGTCTTATTCTTGTGACTGAGGAGCTATTCCTTAACATCCGTTTGCCTGTCTACCTTCTTTACTGTATCGTTAAGAATCAACTCAGGTATTTCTCATCTTCTCAATGTCCCCTTGACACACCAGCCTCAGGTGTGTATTAAGTTTCCTATGTATTCAGATCTCACAAAGCTAGGAGATCATGACTTATTGAAAATCCCTAAGATCCAAGATGCTAAACTTAGGATCTGGTCTTATAATCAAGGTCCATCTTCAGCTAGACTGAATATCTTGCAAGTCTCTTAAGTGTCCCTCTGTGGTCATATAGCACTTTGTACCTGCCTTTAATATGCTCTAGTATATATGTCCTTGCAAAAAGATGGAGCCCCTTTTGAGTTTCAACTGCATCTTACCCTTTTCTATAAGAGCCTGGCACCTAGTAGGTCCTTAATGAATACAAACACACAATTATGACATTTTTTTGTGAGCAATGCATTCTTCCTGACATGGAACATCTCAATTTTTCACATATTTTATTTTTCCATGGGAATCAACGTAATATAAAATACTTTGTATATCAAGTAAGATGATTATTGTATCCCACTATTTCAAAATCATGATTTAAATTACAATAGAATGTAATAGCTACGTTAAGTAAGGCAGTTCTTGTCATCATTACATATGCTGCAAATTTATCTGGGAGGGGAACTATGGGCTTCCAGTCTAGGCATTTCCCCAGCCTACTTGGGGTAGACACAAATATCTAACAGGCCTGAAGATGGACCTTGATTATAGGATCAGATCCTGAGTTCAGCATCTTGGTTCTTAAGGATTTTCAGAAAGTCACAATCTCCTAGCCTTGTGAGTGCTGAGTACATAGGAAACTTAATCTGTTTATGGAGGGTTCAGGATTAATTGGCCTTATTATCTATTAAGCCCTGAGTTATCAGAATACCCAAGGAAAACACTGTCTGGATGGGGTTACTTGGTTACTTAGGATGATGTTATGGATTCTTTCTTTTCTTTGAAGTATTGCTTCAGTTCAGTACTTTTTCTCAAATCCAATCCAAAGTTAGGGTTCCGTACCTCAAACCTTCCTCTGAAAGGAAGAATACATGCTTGCTAGTGGAGGAGGGTGTGTGGGTGGGGGTGGGGCCCGTCTGCCCATGTAGGTAGGGAGAAATTGTTACTTGATCTGGAAAGGGAAAGTAGGAAGCAAGTCCACCTTGTCCCAACAGTCCCAATGAGTAAGCTGGAACTTCATTTAATGTATGGGTGCAAAAGGAGCAGTAGCAGGCATTTAAACTTGTGTCTGATCGTGGATCTCTTTTGCATTTACCTTGGTAGTATGTCACAACCAATTCTGGGCAAAGTTGGGAAGCAGGCAGAACTTCAGTTACATAAAATATTTGGCCTAATCTTGTAACACATTTCATGTCTTCAGTTAATTCTCCCAAGAGCACTATGAAGTAGGAGGTATTAGTCTTATTTTTTAAAAACTGACTCATTGAGGTGTAATTTACTGTAAAAGCTACTATTTAAGGTGTACAATTCAGTGGTGTTTAGTATATTTACAGACTTGGGTAAATATCACCACAATCTAATTTCACCACAAAAGGAACTTCATGCCTTTTAGTGGTCAATCCCCATTCCCCCAACCCTTACCAACAGATCCTGACAACCACTAGTCTACTTTCTTTTTCTCTGGATTATGGACATTTAAATAAATAGAATTGCATGATATTTAGTTTTTGTAACTGGCTGCTTTAGTATGTTTTCAAGATTCACCTGTGTTATAGCATATATCCATACTTTGTTTCTTTTTGTTACTAAATAATATTCTATTGTAGGATACACCAAACTTTTATCTACCAGTCTGATGGAAGTTCAAGTTTCTATGTTTTGGCTATTATGAATAATCTTGCCATGAATGTTCATGAGAAGTTTTTGTGTAGACACATATTTTCATTCCTCTTGTGTATACACCTCGGAGTAGAAATGGTGAATTATCTGGTATATTTAACATTTTGAGGAACTGTAAAACTATTTTCAAAGTGGCTGTACCCTTTTATAATCCAACAATGTATAAGAGTTCCAATTTCTCCACATCCTCATCAATACTCATTATTGTCTGTGTTTTATAGTCTAGCCATATTGGTGGAAGTGAAATGGTGCCTCCTTGTGGTTTTGATTTGCATTTCCCTAAGGATTAATGATGTTGAGCATCTTTTCATGTGCTTATTGGCAACTGGCACATCATCTTTGGATAAATGTCTAATTCAAATCATTTGCCCAGTTTAAAATTGTGTTGTCTCTTGTTGTGTTGTAAAAGTTCTTCATATGTTTTGGATATTAATCTCTTATCAGAGGTATGATATACAAATATTTTCTGATTCTGTGGATTATTTAATTTTCCTGATGGTGTTCTTTGAACACAAAAGGTTTTAATTTGGAAGAAGCCCAGTTTATCTATTTTTATCTATTGCTGCTTGTGCTTCTGGTATCATTGGAGAAAAATGGAATAATCCAAGGGTCATGAAAATTTACACCTATTTTTTTCTAAGTGTTTTATAGTTTTTGCTGTTATATTTAGGTTTTAAATCTATATTAGTTAATTTTTGCATACTGTGTGAGGTAAAGGTCCAACTTCATTCTTTTGCATGTGGTTATACAGTTGTCCCAGCATCATTTATTGAAAAGATTAATCTTTCTCCATTGAATTGTCTTGGCACCTGTGTAAAAAAAAAAAACAAAAAACATAAATATAAGTTTATTTCTGTACTCTCAAGTTTATTCCATTGATCTATATGTCTATTATGCCAGGACAATACTGTCTTTATAACTGTAGATATGTCATAAATTGTGAAATTGGAAAGTGTGGGCTGGGTGTGGTGGCTCATGCCTGTAATCCCAGCACTTAGGGAGGCCAAGGCAGGTGGATCACTTGAGGCCAGGAGTTCAAGACCAGCCTGGCCAACATGGTGAAACCTTGTCTCTACTTAAAAAAAATACAAAAATTAGCCAAGTATGATGGCATACACCTGTAATCGCAGCTACTGGGGAGGCTGAGGCACGAGAATGGCTTGAACCTGGGAGGCAGAGGTTGCAGTGAGCTGAGGTCAGGCCACTGCACTCTAGCCAGGGTAGTGGAGTGAGACCCTGTCTCAAAAACAAAACAAAAAAAATTGGAAAGTGTGATTCTTCCAAATATTTTATTCTTTAGCAAGATTGTTTTGGCTTTTCTGAGTCACTTGCATTTCCATATTAATTTTAGGGTCAGCTTTTCAATTTCTGCAAAAATACCAACTGGATTTCTTCAATGGGGACTACACTGAATCTACAGACAAATTTGAATAGTATTGCCATTTTGACGTTAAGTCTTCTGATCTATAAACATGAGATATCTTTTTATTTAGGGACTCTAACTTTTTCAATGATGTTTTAACATTTTTAGTATATGTCATACTTA